GTTCACAGGCCAGATGATGGAGAACTCCGTCGCAGCAAGAAAAGCAACGCAAAAGTGTCAAAAGTCGCAAAGTCAAGTCGTCTCCATCTTGTCTCGTATACTTCTTGCCTTTTGGAATTTGCAAATGATTGGGCGTAGGACATGTCGCGGTTGGTAGCGCAGCCAGGACGGCCTTGTTCCAACAACGATGTTATCGTGAGTCCGCTACATTTGGTGGGAAATCTGCCCAGGCAGCTCTGCAAGCATCGCCGTTGTCGTACGCCTTTTGAGGGTCACGAGTATACCCTCTTTAACACCAGGGACTTTTGAAACAGCCTCCATGACGTGTACCAGGTACCAGGTTACCGTCCCCTATGGCCCTGGGCTGCCTCTTGTCAGATAAACTGCCCCCTTCGGCAGATCCTTCTCCTTAGCTTGTACTGGCTTGCTCGGCCCCACTGCGCCTTTCGTCAGTGTCTTCTTCTGACCATGAGTAAACCTCTTGCGCGCCAATTAAATAACGTCGAGAGACAAAGGAGTTCGAGTTGTTCATGGTTTCCATAACACTCTTTTATAGAGCCATTATTACGTTTCCTTTATCCTTCGTCCTTTTCTTTTGCAGCGTGTCCATTTCCTACTGCTTCCCAGGCCTCCCATCTTACTCAAACTAGTCTGTCTACTCTTCTCCTAACAAGAAGCACGTCCCGCTACCACCGTCCGGACGTCTTCCTTGGACAAGGTAGTTTGATCCGCATGCACACAAGACGTTTCATTTTCACACAACCCATCATTGACGAGCTCTGCCGCCCGATACATCTCAACTTGAGCATAGTGCTGTCCCGGAGTCTCATTACTCATCTGAATGTGTAAAAACAATGTGAAACTCCAAAAATTTATTCCAAAAAACTCAAAAGACAACAAAAGTCTCAGAGTTAAAAAAAACTTTGAGACTTTTGTTGCCTTTTGAGTCTTTTGGAATAAATTTTTGGAGTTTACATTGCTTTTACAACGCAATCGTCTCAATGTTCAAGAACGAACCATCGCTCTAGTGGAGAAGCAAATGTTTAACACTAACGTTTGGTTCCATTTCGCTAAGGTAAGTTGAAGTGTGAGTGAAGTAATACGGTCCATGATCCAATACAGAGGGCACAGAACTCGATCAAGCATGCCACCCACACTTAACGCGTATTCTCTCATAGATTTCGAAGACAGTATCATTTCTTCACTACTGGCCACCTTATTACATTCATTCGTATTCTGTCCGAAGCAAACGTGGCACTACATCATACTCACAAATTCAATCCAAATATTTAACATAGCGCTATTAGCAAACTGCATAACATCAATTTGTAATAAATAACAAAATGAGTTACCAGTAGCACCAGAGTTATGAAGAAATACATTACATCTAAGTGACCTATGCCCCAAATACAACCCTCACCAGTCAGTTACAAATCTATGAAAGTACACTGAATCTGATCAGTCTTCGTCGAGGAATGATATGGTTCCAGCGTTGTTCTTCATGAACCGCTTATAGCGTTTATACCTACAAAGGACCATAATTTAAAGCGAAACAAAATAAGAGGCATGAGTTCAGAAAACGACCTACCTGCCACTTTGCACAAGTTTCTCTTGTTCTTCAGCATCCCTTTCAGCCTTCCACTTCTTGAAATTCTCTTGTATCCAGAGTTCACGTGCTAGCATATCTTCGTGCTCGTCATCAGTCATGCACTGAAGATTTTCGCTAGTCACTCCATGTATTGTGACAATGTTTGAAGGCGCATTTTGCGATTACGAGCGTAGGCAGCGTCCAGACTTCGCGATGACGCGCGCTAACGCTCTACCGTTGCAACAGCGTTACAAGACGAAAGAAGCCACATTGTCGGCGCCACGCTAATTGCAGCCGTGCCAGCATCATCTGCAGCGAACGAGACTATAGAAGAACAGGAGGGTACTCGCCTGTCCGGTTGACTACTCAACGCGTACTCTCCTTTTCTTCCAATCTCTCAAAGCAGTAGCGGCCGGCTCCGATCGTTACCGGTTTACGGCTGCGCTCCCGTTCAAAACACTGGGGCGCTGTAGCAGTGCTAGTGCGCCCTCGCGAAGTCTGAACGCTCCCCTAGGCAAAGCGAATGTATATGTTCTAGTCGACCTACTAAAGAAAAGAAAAGAGGGAAACGGAAGAATTTCCTGTTTAGAGCCCTCCTCCTTGCAGTTGGTCTTAACCTCTGTAGCAGCACCTGGTCAGGGTCAACTGCTGGCAATGGGGAGTCGACCAAACACTGACTTCGCGCAAGAGGACCCAGAAAACGGTGGGCGAGAAAGAGCGCAGTTCCAGCTAAGTTGTCAGAGCTCGTGCCTGATGACTGTTGCTTCAAAACGGGACATGCCGTCTGCTTTGGCCCCACTCAATCGTGAAATGGTCATTCAATTTCAATTTCGGTACACTGAGTTTGATCACGTCAAACAGCACATCTGAAACGAACTCACATTAAATTGGTTCTGACTCATGCCGAGATTTTTTCGAATTAAATGTAGTTTTGCTTCCTCATCATACTCTTCGCGTTTTATCCAGTATTTAAGAATCCATTTTGCATACCAACGAATATAAAGAGCAGCCACATATGGAAATGCTATACAGTGCCACGCCAGAGTATCGTATACGGACTCCTTTTTGTAACCACCCCTGCAACGGGACGCATTCACAAGAATAATCAGTACCAGGTGTGGATTTTGCTGTTTGTGAAAATCCCAACCTAACGTCCATGTTTTCTTCAATTATACTTCGTATTATGTCTTCATTGTTTTGTCCTTTGATCTTCTTGAGTTTTCCTTTACTATCTATTTCGAGTACCTAAACAAACAAAATTTTAAATCTACAATAGGAACTACAACAGCGGGATAATTCTTAATTTCAAGTGACTCCAAAGAACTCGCGCCGAAGATCTCGCGATGACAAGTGTATTATAAGGGAAGAGGACGAGCTTACGGTATAAACTGCAAAACGTTACAGGTTATAAATTTCGTGAACTTTTTACAAACCTCCATTTCGGAGAAGGCAATGGAAGAGGGAACAGAGATGAAAGGTGGGCAAAGAAGTTAGAAGGAAGAAAAAGGAACCAGAAGGGGAGCCCCGCGGTTGACAAGGGTCCTGAGACCATTAGGATCAATCAAAAAGTAGTGTTTTTAATCAAACAGACAAGATATAAGCGGTTCAAACGCATCCAGAGATGGCAAGTTGCGCGTTATGGGCGAGATTGGATCTGGAGTTAGAGTACTGCATTATGCGCCACTATAATACCACCGTGCCCCGATAATGTAAGTAAACGATCCATTCGAAAAGTTAACAACCCAAACTGTGAATGTAACTCACTCCTCTTTCTACTCCAGCATTGATGGCCATATTACGAAACTTTCCGACGGTTACAGCATAGGCAATAGCTTCCGAGTACTTTTGTTTCGCGCTGAAGTACTGAAAATGAAGTTATTATGGGTCAGTAGGGGAAATCGTTAGAGGAGAAGATGAAGAGACTTAGCCATGTGAGAAAACCTCGGCTAAACTTCACTCGCAGTGATACTTGCTTACCTGAAACAGTGAGATGGACAAAATTGTTCCTAAGATAACCAATCGCACATTTTCTACCTATTAAGAAATTACCCGTCTGAACGATAGTGATGAATAGTTAGTTGTAAAACCTTCAATCAGGAAGAGGGATTACATATCGGAACCAATTTAAGACAGGAATTAAGAAAAGAGCTGATCAAGGACCATGAGAAAATAAGTGCTTCAAAAGGTTTAAGCTCACCTCTCTTCTGGATGATCCAAATAGTAATCATAATCTGAGCGGGTCTGATCGTCTTTTAACGTTTCATATGCGGTCGCAATCACCCGGAATCGAGCTTCGGCCTCGACTTTAGCAGCCTAGAAAGGGGCCACCGAATTATTCTAAAGACCAGCAGCCCGCACAGAAATATTTGTACATCGGATATTACTATGAAACTTTCTTATCGGCTTGGAATTCGCTGGAATTTCCGAAGAGGGGAACGGCTCTAACACGCTCAATTCATCACCTTTGCGCAGTATCATAACACAGCACGGGATGTTACTGGGCCAAATAAGGCACAGCACAGAGCTGATAATACGAATTGAGGCTGAGCCATAGGAACACAAGAAGGGTTGCATGTAGATCTTAGAAGCAATCCCCCGCTGATTTCCCACCTTCAAAATTGTTGTCCATAGAAGGCAAATACCTGGTCTTTCACTCTATCTGGATGGAACTTCTTCGCTAGAGAGCGGTAGATTTTTGATAATTTTGCTTTGTCGAATTCGTCCCGATTTATCTCCAGCACTGAAATATAATCTTTCAAAGCGAAAGAACCTTTTCGATTGATGAAGCCTTACTTAGCAAGTATAATGCGCCACATAAAATTTACCATTAGGGACAAGTCTACTGCCTTTGAATCTATTACGGAGATTTAAAGCAAGGATAAATTATACTGAAAATGGGAGCGAGTTGATCATAGATCAATGTCGCGTTCATATTTTGCAACACTGGAAAATTGCAGAATGTGCCGACTGGAAAAAATGTAAGGGAATGTATTAGACGAAACGATTTGTTGAGTCAAGAAGAGCAGAGAATGCGCATGGTAATTACATGGGAATCGATTGACTCCGTACAGAGGCTCGCGCGTGGCTGCACGTACAGGTAATCGATAAAGCACACTCGGATAGACGGTGGAAAGCTCTGCAACCGTTTCGCATTCCGATGCGGGTGTGGGCTAAGAGAAATGAGTTGCCGCCTTCAGAAGTCCCTGACTGAAAAATCCTTCTATCCAGTTTCTACCAGGACCAACTGATTCAAAACACAAAGCCGGTGCAGGAAATTCGGCTTCAGTAGACTTGGGGGGAGGGGATTAAAGGACTCATTGTGCAAAACTGGAAATTCTGCAGCGGATATGATGACTTCTCAGAACATTGCAGCAGCATCAACGGCCGAGCGAGTTGGTCAAAATGGGCAGAGATACCATGCCTTGATGCTGTCTTGGTCGTCCGTTGAACCTGCTGAAGGTCAAGAGAGGACCAGAGCAGCATCACGACCTGAGATCTCCGCCCATTTTAACCGACTCGCTCGGCCGTTGATGCTACCGCAATGTTCTGAGTTCTTCCTGAGCCTGAAGGGAAGGGTTCCTCTGTTTGGATGACGTTACAGGCAAGTAGTGCTTCAAATGGCTTTCAAGGTTAACGCCAGCGCTACATAAAATGCTTACAAAACAAACAGCCTAGCGTCTTTGAGACTAATTATCCCACAGTGCAAAACTGGAAATATGAATATGTCCGTTACTTTCTTTTGACTGATTCTATCAAGCTGTACTCATCATTAAGATCATCATAGTAAAAAACTGCTAAACACACACTTTGCAGATATTCCCAAAAACCAAGTGAAGATAATCTGCTGGGTATTAAGTGACTTACCATCGTAACAATTTTCCAAGCCACAGTACAACTCCTCAGCAAAACCAACAGAAAGTACAGGTTCACATAGATAAAGAAATACGAGGAGATAGACCCATCCAAAAGACGAGAATGGTCTCATCCAAGCTTGAGTTTACCCCCGCTTGAGTTTTATCTGAAAATCTCCATTACTTTCATAATTCTCCTTCAACTCGAAGTTGTGAAAAGAAGTCAAAGCCGAGTAGATGCAATAGTCTCTCAAGCTGTCAGCCACATCGGCATAATTACAAGGTTTCTCGAAACTTTCTTAAAGGCATGCCCCGGCTTGAGAAATGGTGAGATGTGCGGCTCAAATACTGATAGCAATTGGATAATAACATAAAAGTGAAGAAAAAGACAGAAAAACCCTCACGAAATGCCCAGACAGAACACCATGCTGATCTGCGGTTGTATGGGTTAGGCTGCGTTTATACTTTGCGGCAGCGTAGCGTAGCGCTTCCAGCGTACGCCAGCGGCAGTGTCGGGGAAAGGATGGATATCGATCTAGCGTTCCCAGCGTTTCACTAGCGTTTCGCTAGCGTTTGCAGCGGCGGGGCTAGAGAGTATAGAAGAGTAGGAGAGTATTTTGTACTCTCCTACTCTTCTATACTCTCTAGCCCCGCCGCTGGCAAACGCTAGTGAAACGCTGGAAGCGCTACGCTACGCTGCCGCAAAGTATAAACGCAGCCTTACAAGATATGTCAACCGGATACTATCTTGGTGCGAGGGGTCCAGAGTGTTTTTCCATCGCATCTTGTGTTCGAGCATTCACGGGAAGCAAAGTAAGGAAGGATGAGAGAAGGAAGGAAGAAAAAGAAGGAAGGAGGAAGGAAAAAGGAAGGCGACAGATGTCCTGAGACCCGCTTGTATGTGCATTAGGTGAAGGAAGGGCGTGGATGAACGATTTCCCACTAGTGGTGCCGGCTCTTTCTCTTTCGCGCTTTCATCATTCGAAATGGAGAGTCAGAAGCGGAACAACCGCACCATCAGGTAGCAGCTAAAAATGAAAATTGGGCGTTGTCGTGGCCAGTGGGTGGAGCCGTGGTCTCGTCGCGAGCGGCCAGTGCTTCCTCGCGCATTTTGAGCTGCGAAAGTAGTACATCATTCATCTTTGTGAACAACATATCTCGGCCAAAGAAGGTCGTATCAAATGAACCCGGGACATGCATTCAATCGTTTGCCAGAAACCTTTATGCTTTCGTAAACATGAAGTCGAGGTACGTTGGTGTAATGAAAATGATAACGACATATCGGTCTGTCCAAACTTGGGTCATACAGTTATCACGTTCTCTCGATGCTTTTTTGCATTAAGAACAGGGGTTTTTCGGTTTTATGACGAGAATCCTATGAAATGTAGGTCCGACAGTTCATATTCAGCAGTGGTATCAAACAGCACTGAAACCTGAAGGCACAGTCTGCAATAGGGAGCGTAGCTAGCATTTTTGAAATGTGGAAGAATTGCCAAGTGACTGATTTGGAAAGAGAAAATGCCAAAGGAAACGCAGAAACGCCTTTGATAGGACCCCTTCACCCTTAAACAACAAAAAGGCGTTTCGGGACAAGTCGAGTCGTATCATTCCTTGTAATGAACCCTGAAATAGACAGTGGAGCATCCTTTTCATGCTGCTTGTCCAGTAGCATCGCTTTTGGTCGAAAGGCGAACGCTGCAGGCGGAGTTTGGGGGCGGAGCCACTGGATATAGGGATTGTCACTGGAGCAACATTGCTTCCTATCTCCTCGACCTTAAAACTTCGCCGCGGAACAGGCACAAGATTGTCTTCTGCGGATCACATTACCCTTCCCACGCAATCTTTTGCATTTTCATTGATCATCACGTACGGTTCCATTAGCAAAAGTTTCTTATGAAAGCAACAAAGAGAAATTTAGGAAATTATCAGATGCCGTCAATATCCAGAGGAAGAGAATGAGGCGCTGGTCAAATAAGGAGGAAGTGAGGGGCATTTCGTCAAGTTTCGTCAACAGTTGAGCTAGCTATTTAGTCAATTTTTCACATCTTCCAGCCCTAATATAAAAATGAGGATGAAATGATAAGGGATGGTGAAATGCTGCATCCTTTCGTAGGTATAGAGGAGCTAACAGATTGTAAGAACCACCTAGCAGAATTCCCTCATCACCTCACTGGAACAGCGTCGAAATCTTACAGATCTATCTCCCCCTCCCATGAAAACACCAAAGTACTGCATGACTCGACGACAAAATGTGGCTATTGTACAGGACCATGGACCATCTGGAAGATGACTAAAAGGTGCAAATATTGAAAATACTTTGTAGAAGTGAATGGCGAAGGTGTCAGCATGCATAAGTGTACGAATGTATGAAAAGCAGCACTTTGCGATCAAGGCGCCACGTACGAGACGGCGGAATCTCATTTCCCTTTCAATGCGACTCAAGACAGGTGCGAGAAAAACGTGGAACAAAGGAATCTGCACAATCCTGAATCTATGCAGCAAAGCGAAATGAAACTCCAATAAGCAGCGGCGCTAAAGGCACTCAACAAGAATGAGTCTTCCGCGCAAGTAGACCCCTCTAGTTAAAAATGACTGCTGGTGTCGAAAAAGCTGCTTTTGAAATAATGAAAAAAAATCTCGCAATGCGCACCTCCTATACCGAACAATAATTCTTGTTGGAGGCTTCCGAATCTGTTTTATTTTAAGAACATTTCCGAGACGACCGCAATAATTCCAGACTCACGTAGAATCAGGCGTAAACTGTGCAACAACTCGATAGCGCCATTAATACGCCTCTCATGACAGTTCAACTCTACAGTTGTACGGCGAGGCTAGTACGGGACGCCATCCTGCCTGAGGGACATTTGTCGGAAATACGGCTTTACCCTCAGAATCTAGACCTGCGCCTGCTCACACCACTCATCAAATTTCAGTTTCGCACGA